TTAAGGAGGTGGGTGGAGGCATTGCATGGGACAAGAGAGTAACACAGAAAGGAGGGTAAGTGTAGCACTAAAGATTTTTTTTTTTGGTAAGGGGATTAGAGATCCAAGATTGGTGTTGGGCTATAACCCCTACAACTTTTCCGATGGCAGGCACTGACATTTGCTATAACTGACAGCTTTCTAGGCTGTCAATTACAAAGCTTGGCCCACCCAACTCCTTGACATAAGTGATAGCACAATGATGGCTGAGGGTTGACACCCTGCACTACTGCACTGTAGATACCTGTGTGCATGCCTGCCTACTCATCCCCTAGCCAGGAAGCCTGCATGCCTGCAAACAACGTTGCCCTCATCTTCATTGTTTTGTTTCCTGCCATAAGACATCAGCATTGGTCCATTCAGGGAAGAGTGGGTAGTGTTTAAAAACTGTTAATTCCCAGGTAAATATTTATAAAGGTTGGGCATTGGAATTCAAATGCGTTACTGTTTTTTGTAATCATGAGAAGGCACTGACCTAATATCACCATATATACAATTACATCTTAAACAGTTTTTAATGGTTATATATAACAGCATTTTGATATTAGACAGTGTACCCCAATTCCCCCCCAAAAAACAGGATAGCAACATATTTAAACTCTATTGATTGTATAAAATGGCACTGTCAGCTGTATGAAATGGCGTGCGACATACTGTATGCAAGAATACAAATGGCCACATAGTAGCTTATTACTCAAAAAGGATTTCCAAAGGTACAGGGTTTGGGGCTGATCAGAGGTCTGAAGTTAATGGATTGGGATGATCTGCGGTCTGAAGTTTATAGATTGAGATGATCTGAGATCTGACTTTTATGGATTGGGATGATCTAAGGTCTGAAGTTTATGGTTGGGGCTGATCTAAGGTCTGAAGTGCATGCATGCATTGAGGCTGATATGACATCTGACTTTAAGGATTGTGATGATCTAAGGTCTGAAGTTTATGGTTGGGGCTGATGTAAGGACGGAAGTGCAAGCATGCATTGGGGCTGATATGAGATGAGATCAGATCTGATATTTATGGATTGGAATGATCTAAGGTCTGAAGTTTATGGTAGGGCCTGATCTGAGGTCTGAAGTGCATGCATGCATTGTGGCTGATATGAGATGAGATCTGATGTATGAATTAGGATGATCTGAGGTCTGACGTTTATGGATTGGGGAAAAAAAAATCTTGCACCAGGGTCCTTTGTTCCTTAGGTCTGCCACTGGACTGATCTGAGTTCTGAACTGCATGCATGCACTGAGGCTGATATGAGGTTGGAAGTTTATGGATTGGGCTGATCTAAAGTCTGAAGTGTACGGATTGGGGCTAATCTGTGGTCTGAAGTGCATGCATACATTGAGACTGATCAGGGGTTTATAGTGCATGTCTGTAATGTGGCTGATCTGAGGTCTGAAGTGCATGCATGCATTAGAGCTGATCTGAGGTCTAAAGGGGCATAAATCAGTTTTTGCAGTCATAGATCTGCTGCTAATGATAAGTTAAACTAATTAATAATTGCTATTAGCAGTACAACCATAAGTACAAAAATTGAAAACTAAGACTGCTGTCTGCTACTGTTCACTGGCATGCTGGTTGTCTAATACTTATAAATATGGCACATATATTGGGGAGCCTCTGTCAGGTCAAATGCTGCAAGTATAACATGAAGAGGTACTGCACTTAACTGCAATAGCCTCTAATACTGTGCTTTTTTGACATGCAAAGCAATGATACTCATGGGTAGTTTTAGAGTTGGCTGCTACCACCCAACCCCTACACGTTTCTATTGGCTCCTCACTGTGATATGCTGCTTGTCAGAATGGCTTGGGATTTAAAGTAGAGTATTAGAAGTATTAGAAACGGCAGGTATATACATGTATGCCATCACCTTATACCTGCAGTAGATTGTTTATGAATAATTATTTTTAACCCTTTTCCTCTAACATTTAACCTTCCCCTAAACCTTACTCTAACCCTAAAACGTGAAATAACCCCCTGATCCTTTCTTAATGTAACCCCTAAACAAAGCCATGATGCCAAACTAACCCAAACTAGCTGCTTTTTCCGTAGACTCCCCTCATCCTGCATTAGCATTGGTGTCAAATCCTCACACTTAATTACTGGTACTGAGCCGTTAGCATAGATAAATTACAATCCAATTCCAGTGCCCTCCAGGTCCTACAAACGTTCTGTCAACTGATGTGAGCACAGCTCTGTCTTTGCATCAGTTGTCATTAGGCAGAACAAGATTCTCATAGACTTTACACTGTTTTCCAACTTATTTAAAAGGTCTGAGATCCTTCTCTCACAGTTTTAGGATTTTTTTAAATTAATATAAAGTAATTGAAGAATGAAACTACAGCTCATGGGGTAATGTTCTGTGTCTATTTTAAAATCCAGGCCTGTGTACAATCCTTCAAGCTGAACTCCAGGCAAACAGCTAAATACACAGATAAGACACATAAGGGAGTTGTTTTACTTGCCAAAGAATTTGTATTTCTGTCCACCCAAGCTTTAGATTTGTACAGCTTTATCACCACAGAGTCCTGTCTGACTGGGCAGGAGACCTGATTTTTATCTGCTGAAGTTAACACTTGCAGTTCTTCCCCCTCTCCCAGTCTGTAACTGGACAGTGAAAGGCAAAGCAGTCCACTGATGAGCACTGCTGTACAAAGGAATGCAAAAGATTGGTACCAAGTCAAATTCAGGTACTTACACCGCTTGCAGTTAAAAATGCATTTTATGAATACAGAGCTGCAGTAATGTGTGTCATTTATTTCTGCCTAGAGTTCAGCTTTAAAAGACAACTGCAATTTTGTTTTAAAATCAATATTGTAATGAGCCTAGCAAACTTAGAAATATAAATGCTATACATTTTTCCACATAAAGTAAGAATTATCCATAATCTTAACTCTGTTGCTAAAATCAAACCAAATAATGACCACTTACATTACCACTAACTGACCATTCAGGCTCCTCTGAAGAAATTAGAACATGACTAGTAAAGAAAAATAATTTGTACTATTCAAGAGACTATGTTATAGCATATATGGATAAAGAAAATGGCTTTTTAAACTTGTCAGAGTATACAGTGTTGGAAGTTACTCTGTCACAGGTATACTTTTTTTTTTTGTTTACAGGTCAAATTACTGCCTGCGTATGGTACCATCAAAGATTCTGACAAGGGGAACTGGTTGGGCACTATCTGCATACTATGGCTATGGATAAAACAATAGGCTGCACAGCACAGCCAACTTAAGGCTACATTCACACCTATATCTTTAGGTACCATTAGGGATTCCTGTGTCAGGAACTTGCGTTTTTCCACACCAGGAACCCCCCTAATCTGCCATTTATAAGCTGCAGCTGTCAATGGTGTTAATGATTGGGTGTCAGCCACTGCATTTAAACACAGGCACATTGCATGTAATCATATGTAATATGGTCACATGCGGTTAGGAATCAATCCCTCTCCCTCTTAATCACTCATCCAGGGAGAGCGATTGATTTCTAACCACATGTAAGCGTATCACATATGGCTGTCACCCAATCATTAACTTGAATGAGTGACAGCTGCTGCTTATAAACAGCAGATTAGGGATTCCCTCTGCAGGACATTCCAAGTTTTTGACACAGGAATCCCTAATCGCACCTGAATATGAAGGTGTGAATGGGGCCTAAATATGAAATATAACTTTAAACTTGTCATGTATGGGCCATCCAGCACTTCTACTCCATTCACAACGCCTGAACTGGATGGATATTGATTGGTGTTGGTTCTGAATACCTATATTATTTTGGGGACAACAAACACAGTCATATGAAAGCCAAATAAACACAACAATGAGTCTTTCATATGACTGCAAAATCTATCCTAGGTATTTAAGTCCATATCTGCTGGAGTTGAAAGTCACCAGTAGCCCATAAATGGGTTGACTATCTACAGAGGTAGTCAAAAAAATACTTTTTTTGGCTGATAATTGGCCTGTGTATTACCATCTTTATTTGGTATTACCACAAATACTGTATATTAAAAAAGTATTAGTAGCTCTTTTAGTAATATGCACTTCCCAGCAACCGATTCATTTAAAAATAAATTCTACCTTCAGTGTACCTGCTGTAAAATGTATTTATGAATGACATTGACTGCCTCTTCTGCCCCCCTCCCAGTAGCAATTTTAGGTCAAGGTTGTTGGCTTCTAAACCTAGTGATATTTAAAAGCCAGGTAGTTCCAACACTTAGTGTAGTTTTAAGAAAGTTGGCATCACTTGGAAATATATTGCTTTGTCTGGCATGACACAATCTGATTTTAGAAACAGATTACTATTTAGCTGGTTTCTAAGGGAGGGTTGCAGCAAGCTGAAAATGCCATGTAGTTTCAGTCAGGTAATCTTGGAGCTGCTGGTGGTTCTGACCAAAACAGCTGATTGATAGAATAGAGGCAGCTCTACCATTTATCTTTGTGATTATAATAAAGGTATTTTTCATAAAAGAACTAAACGTGCAGAAGCCATTTAAACACTGTTTATGCCGTCTATCCCGTTTAATTTGACACACTTTTTTTTGCACTATTTGTCTGAGTTAATGGACTTGTGTCTATGTGGAACACCTAATTCCAAATAATATTACAGTACTGATGCTAATTTATCTTAGTGATGAACTGTTAAAATAAGATAAGCTCAGTAAGAGGTAAGACATTTTTATAATAATAAAAACTCTAGAAGAGACATAGGCAGCCTTTTGTGATATGTGTCTCCCATGGGAACATTGCTGTCGATTATTCACTATGTACATAATAATCCAATTTTTAATACTTGAACACTTCTTAACCATAATCCAAAATATAATTTGACATCACTCATCAAAATTGATCTGTGTTAGAAAAAAATATTACACTTAAATATATTAGTGATAAGTACTGTATACATGTTTTTATTGTGTTGCATTTCTTTTCTCTGTTTTTTTTGTAATTTGTAATTTGAAGAAATGACGTTTAATCGGGACTCTTTACCAATAAAGGAAAACAAAATAAATGGGAGAAGGATCATGTAATACTGAGGTGGTTTTCAAAAATAGAGCATTTGAGTAGTTAAAATCCTTAGCTGGTAACATAAGATGACTTTGATGTTTCAGGTTATTACTTGACAGGTCAGATAGTCTTTAGATTATCAGGGGCAGAGTCATGCATCTTGTGTTATGTCACTCTTGTTTTGTGATGAAGAACATATTTTGATAGGGATGCAATATGGAATGACCCATTCTTATTTCCACAAAGTTGCCTTACCATACAAACAGACCCTCAAACCTTAAGAATTTAAACCTCACCTTCCTACATAAACCTGTTTTCTGACCTCCCTGTCAGTGTGTCCATCAACCAAAGTAAGGATGGTCATTTTGAAAATTATAATCCGGACACACCTTCTGCACCAGCTTGTAGTCAATACTGTAGAAGGAGATAAAGATGCAGATGACCTTAAATGGTTTAGCACAAAGCCATGCGGCATGACTTTGGGTATGTTCCATGTAACAGTTTTTGGCTGGATCGTAGAGGCAGGGTTTGTTCTTCAAGGCTTTGTTGGTGTTTTCATATTCCACCCTACAGTTAAATGTCTTAGTTTCTCTGGTATCCAAGGTAGATTGCTGTAGAAGGTCGAATTCTACCACCTTCGTAGGTGGAACAATACTGACAGACACATTTCCAAGGCTAGAGGAGTTATGCCGAAAGTAGACACTGAACGTCCCATTTATGTGGTCAACAATCTTACCGGTCACCAGCAGACTGAACTTGACAGTCTTGATGTTAAAATAGAAATCTCCCCATCCAAAGATTTTCTTGGTTCTCCCAGTTTTCATGGAAGGCTTGCGTTTAGGTATTTGACCAAACCCACCAGTGAGCAGTGTTTGATTCTTGCTCCACTCCCAGGGAGTGATAGGCGATTGCATTGGAGTTTTTACTGGTTTGAACGGATCACTGGAGAAAACCCTGGATGGATGGAGTGAGTGAGGCTTGGTGGTACCATATGGTCCATTCTTCACCATTCCTGTTGCCCCCAAGTCAAGGTATCCCAATGTTTTTGTCATGTGGCCTTCTAAACAAAGTACCTGAAAATACATGTAAAACACATGAATTATTCTTGCAGCATAAAACAACAAAAACACTTTTAAAAGTGATTATTTAATATTTTATTATTTATTTTCATGCCTTAATATTTTAAAGCATACTACACAATTATTTACATTTTCATTCATATTTCTATGATTGGATAAGCTGGGAAAAAAACCATAAGGCTGGGCACACACCTTACAAACATCGCAAGACTTTTGTCTTGCGATGGTTGTAAGGTAATTAAAAAAACGTACGATCTGCCTGTCTTGGACAGGCAGATCGTACTTGCGATGATCACAAGCCGCGCCCCCCTGAGGGGTGGGCTTCCGATGACCGCAAAGCCGAACGGGCAGTGTGCGCTTGCGCACACCGGCCCGTCCGGCTTTTATCTTACGAACATGCTACACACCCGCCGAAAATTGTACGATGCTCGGCGGGTTTTCGAACATGTTCCTAAGATAAAAGTCGTGCGACCTTACAGTAGTAGAGGTTGCACGGCTTCCACACACCTTACGATAATCGTACGATCGCGGGATTTCCCGCGATTATCGTACGATTATCGCAAGGTGTGTGGGCACCTTAAGAAGTATGCATCAGATGTTAAAACACTTCTATGTTCTAGTCAAAGGAAAACAATTCTTGCATTTATATCATACAAAGCAAACTACACTATATGGCCAACAGTTTGTGGAAACCTGACTATCACAATTGTTATAGACACCTAAGATTGTTGGACATCCCATTCTGATTTTGCTCACGGATGGCGTTACAACTGATCCTAAGAGTGTTTTTTGTACTGAGTTTAAGGCACTGTTCAGGCTGCTCCAGTTCCTCCACAGCAAACTCCTCCAGGGAATGATTTTACTGAGTGCGTGTGATAGAGACTTTTAATGCACAATATTTAATTACAGATTATATCCCTATAGGGAAGCTTGATATTAAAGGAAACCCATTATATAAATGTATTGCACACACACACACATATATTGTGACATTATATAAATATATAGCACATATATATATATATATATCTCAGGAGCTCAGTGAATTCAAGCGTGGTACCGTGATAGGTTGCCACCTATGCATTAAGTCCATCCGTGAAATTTCCTTGCTACTAAATGTTCTGCTGTCAACTTTTAGTGGTATTATAACAAAGTGGATGCAACTGGGAACAACAACTCAGCCACAAAGTGGTAGGCCATGTAAAATGACAGAGGGGGGCCAGTGTCTGCAGAGTCAATAGCTACAGACCTTCAAACTTCGTGTGGCCTTCAGATTGGCAGAACAACAATGCGTAGAGAGCGTCATGGAATGGGTTTCCATGGCCGAGCAGCTGCATCACCACCACATCACCACACCGCCATACATCACCAAGTGCAATGCAAAGCGTCGGATGCATTGGTGTAAAGCACGCCACCACTGGACTCTAGAGAAGTGTAGACGTGTTCTCTGCAGTGACTAATCACGCTTTTCTGTCTGGCAATCCATTGGACGTGTCTGGGTTTGCTGGTTGCCAGGAGAACGGTACTTGCTTGACTGCATTGTGCCAAGTGTAAAGTTTGGTGGAGGGGGGATTATGTGGGGGTTGTTTTTTCAGGGGTTGGGCTTGGTCCCTTCCACTGAAGGGAAATCTTAAGGCATTAGCATACCAAGGCATTTTGGACAATATCATGCTCCCAACTTTGTGGGAACAGTTTGGGGATGGCTGCCTCCTATTTTAACATGACTCCGGACAAGTGCACAAAGCAAGGTCCTTAAAGACAGGGATGAGCGAGTTTGGGGTGGAGGAACGTGACTGGCCTGCACAGAGTCCTGACCTCAACCCGATAGAACACCTTTGGGATGAATTAGAGCGGAGACTGCGAGCCAGGCCAAGCCAGTGCCATTTTCCTGCCGATACATCGGCGCTTCCCTGCTTTCTTTCCTCTCCGATGGGCGCTGCTCTGTGTCCCAGAGGGAAAGAGAGAAAGTGTGATAGCCGGCCGAGCGATGCGGGAGGAGAGCGCTGTTAGCAGTCGGCATCTCCTCCCACACAGCTCAGCCTCCTATCACAGTCCGGCAGAGCGGTGTGGGCGGAGACAGTCCACGCTGTCACAGGAGGGTGAGCTCTCCTCCCTGCTCCGCTCGCTCAGTCTCCTGTGACAGCGTGTCAAGGAGAAGAGCAAACAAACACTCAGCGATCAGTGATCGCTGAGTCTTTGTAAATAATTAAGGACATAGTATGTTTACTGTATCCTCAATTATGAATGAATGGGAAGTGATTTACATAATCTCCTGTACATTCATAGTTGTAGTTATAGTAAATATACCATGTCCTCATGTTATGAATGGTCATGAACACTCAGTATAGAGGATTCCTGTTCATTGATAACAGGGGATACAGAAAAAGAGATAGAGGACTTTGTGTCCTCAATCTCTTTTTCTATTTTAAAAGGGAAATATCAGGGGTCTGTTTAGATCCCCCAATATTTCCCCGAAGCCCCTAAAAATAAAGTAAAAAATTAAAATATTTACTAAAAAATTAATAAATCAAAATAAATATTAAAAAAATAAAAAGTTTATGAAACAATAAAAATTAAATATTTTAAACATTTAAAAAAATCAAAATAAAAAACATTTTCGGCTTCGGCCTGACAATTTTTTAATTTCGATTTTGATTCAGTTTTAAATTTCCATTTCGGTGCACCTCTAGTGTATATATATAACAGATTACTCCATCAATGCTTACGAGCTTTGATCGAGGAATCCCCCTCTGGTTTTTTTTTGCATTCTGACAGCCGCTGCCTTCTGCTGTCAGAATGCATGAAAGGTGCTTGCAGCTGTTTGAAGATTCTCCAGCCAGCCCCTTTGATCAGCTGATCGAGGGATGCTGGCCAGGAGGGTGCCAACAGCAGGACCCACTGCGCATATTTTGGCCAGTTCCTGAAGAGGAATGGATGAAAGGTGCATAGTGTATGGCCAGCTTTAGTCTTCTTCTGAGTAAGGGGTCTTTGGCTATCTTGATTTGCCAGGCTGGAATTAAGTAACTACTGTGCACGCGTGGAGACTGCATGTGCGGCTTAGCGTACTAAAAAAATGCTCACAAGCCTAGGAGAAGCATTTATAGAACAAGAGGCTTTCAGTCTTCTCTGTTATAAAATGCGTACCTGTCAGCATTTTATTCAAAACATACCTTAGTTCCACTTTAGACTAGCTTCACACTTAGGCGATTTATCGCAAGGATTTTGAAGCGCGATATCGCACAAAACAGAGATTTGCATTCAAGTCTATGGAAGCTTCACACTTTTGTGTTTTGTCACACGATAGAAATCGCCTGTCGCGCAAAAAGGTGCAGGGGCTATTTTTGGGCGGTTGTCTCGCCGTTTGGGTCCCATAGCCATCTCCATGCATTCAAAGCAAAATCGCGCGACAACTGCACGAAAACAGATCACCAGATCGCCTAGGTGTGAACCTAGCCTTAAAGGAGAACTATGGGGTTAAGGCTTTTCTCCATAGTTCTCCTTAGGGTAACGGGAGGACACAAACTAGCGTCCTCCCGTCACCCTAGGCTCAGTATACTGCGAGCTGTAGCTCGCGGTATACTGAGGCGCCGCAGTATTATGTCTGGATCCGCCCAGCTGCATGACTGACAGCTGGCTCTGCCTATGTAGAGGCAGAGCCAGCTGTACCCGCCCCCTCCCCCGTCCATTCCGCTGTCAGCGCTGGTGGATCGGAGCGGGGAGGGGGGAATCCAGTGCCTCCCCTGTCACGGCAGAGAGCCGTGACAGGATCGAGAGGTGAGCAAACGCCGGTATGTGTTCGCTCACCTCCCGATCTACTAAACCGGCCTGTGACAGTCTCATTGTCACAGGTCGGCTAGAACTATGAGGTGAGTGAAAAGCATTGTAGTAAGAACTAAAAATAGATACTCAGTGAGAATTCCACGCAGTTTAGCAATGAGGCGCAGGCTGATTTAACCTGTAACTAGGGCTAACTAGGTTTATGTCGGTTTGGCCTGTTCAAAAATTGGGAGTCTGGTTATAAATCTATAGTTCAAACACTGAGTTTCTGATGAGCCATTCACTTGTCTTGTGCTGCAAAAAATATTGTACACTCTGCAGGAATTTTATTCTGGAGATTAAATATAATGACTATTTTGCAATCTGGTATAAAGAAAACCCTCAATGTAAAAAAAAAGAGGTGCAGCAAACTTGATTTGTGAAGTTCTTTTACTTCATTGTAAATCCTAGGTATGATGCTAAGTTGATCCACACCTTTAAATACCAAATCAGTTGCTTTTTTTCCCGGCTTGTGCCTCTGATCATCTTCCTCTCACACACTGCTAGCGCTGCGAAAACGAAATGACAAGGAAGGGAAATAGACGACAAAAGGGAAAAGGTTACAAGCTTGCCTGTCTGATCTGCCTGGGAGACAGCGAGATGTAACGATGGGACCTGAACGAAGGGTCAGCTGCTCATGAAATTCATGATTCCTGCACACGGCTCATTATGAGGGATTGATCTCAAAACCTCTTAAACAGTCTCTGGAGAACATTAATGGGACTTGGCTTAGACTCACATTATTAACCTGTTACTTGCCAATGCTTTCCGCATTATAACAAGTGACAATAATATAAAAATAGGAATAGGAAAAAATGGGAATTTCTGTTGTCCTTCCTATTAAAACACATTAGAGTGTATCTAAAGCCAATTGTTTTGCTGTTTTTGATAGAGTGTTCAAGGGATAGATCCCCTGTCAGGTTTGTATTGCTGTCCCCCTTTTATAAGCTTCACCCTCTTTTGTTGTCCTTGTGAAATTGATCACTATCAACTGAAAGTGAGGGAAAATCCAAGATTTTGAGTTGTCACCAGAACAGGTAAAGATGGTGAAATCTTCCGATGGGGAAAATGGTCTAGAATGTCCCTCAGCGTCCTCAAATCTAATACACTGTAATAGACGTGATGACTCATGGATGCGTAGACTGCCAGAGCAGGGGGGCAAAGAGGCTGCAGGGACCAGTCTAGCAGCCAGGCAGGACTGACGTTCTTGTGAGGATATCTTTGTTATTTTAAAATAAAACAAAAACAAGCACCTAACCTTTGCAGTGCGTGGGTAGCCCCCCCCTGCAAGGGTTAGGTTTTATTCTGCCTAGAGTTCTTCTTTAATGTAGTGACAACAGTAATACTGATGTGGAAGTGTGGTGAACCTAAAAGACTAATCAGTGTTATGTTTTTTGTAATCTAATGACAACTGAATTGTGAATAATAGCTATGTATAAGTGCACTATCCACATTACTCTTTGTAAGGGTAAGTAAGTTCTCCTTACTAGATGTGGCTGTGAAAGACGGACTTCTCAGTTTGTGGGAGACCTCTATTATAGATGTCAGGCAGCCCCCAACTATAATTTGGTGAAGCCACCCTGGATGAGGAGATTTACATGTTGTTATATGAGTGGCAAGAAGACCTGGATGCCACATAACATTAGAGTGACAGGGTGCCTGTATTGAGCCACTGAAAGGAGCCCCATTGAAGTGGACTTGCAAAGCTGATATGCCTGAGTTATCAAGCTATGGCATTCCTGTGACATTGCTGAGTACAATCAAATCCCCCAAGAGAAGTGCAAGCAAGTTATACACTCTGAGGAGAGAGCATGCTTCTCAAAAGAACATCCTGGTGTATTGCAACCAAGGGCATGTAATTGAGATTCCTTATATGGAAAAGTTGACCTGTATTGTGATCATGATAATAATTGGTGAGAAGCACAGTATATGCTGTCCCAGGAAAGGGCTTTTGTGACTGGCAAATTATTTCAGAGCCTTAAGGGTATGGGCTGAGGAAGGACAAATGGCAGCCTGAAGATATGTATTGGGCATAAAAGAGACCTCTGACATGAATAGAGGGGGCACTTATCCCAGGAAGAGTGTTCACATTAATTGAGGAAGTATTGTAAAACCCAAATGCCCTGGACACATGGGAGAGCATGCCAATGGACATAGCTGTCAAGTCTACAAAGGCATGTGCAGGAGATATAAGGCTATAAGTACTCTTAGGTATTGGAGGTGATTAATTATGTTATGTTATCTCTGTAAGTAGGAGGCAGCAGTCATGTACAATGTTTTTCAGTAGGGGTGCACCGATACCAAGTACAGTACTCGGTACAAGAACATGTACCAATACTTTTCGAGTTCCAAGACTAGACTAGAGAAAAATTCAAAAGTTAGGAGGCAGCTGTCATTTGTAAGGAGCACACGGAGCTCCTGGGATTTGTACATCTCTGTTTTAATGTATGATTTTGTTTTTATAAATATAAATAAAGGGATGCGCCAATACCAGTTTTGCGAGTACAAGTACTGGTACTTGCCCAAGTACTTACAGACACAAGTACTGATAAATTTTTGTTTATTGTCATGTGAAAGTTTTTCTAAAACAATATCTACTAATGATTTCAGGACAGTGGTGGAGAGCCAGAGCCAGGTCCTGCTGCAACCCTGGTAGTTCTCATGAAAATGCCAAGTATCGGCATTGGTACTTGAAAAATATCGGTGCATCCCTTTTTTTCCGGACACCAGAAAACTGAAACTTGGAATTGCATCTTTACCTTACTGAATATGGCCAATTATATTTGCACATGATGTTACAGTTTTGAGTATTTCTTGCCATAACCAATTAGCAGATATATTTATTTATTTAGGTCTGTATAATTATAAAAGTAAGTAATTTTTATGAGATCTGCTTAGATCTTGGTCTGCTGTAACAAAAATCCCGTGTCTGCCATGGAGATGCAGCAATATTTTCCTGCAAAACCTGAACTTTTTTTAGGCTAGGTTCACAGCTCAGTGACACCCGCTGATTTCAATGGGGTGACATCCGCGCGGCACACGTTAAAAAAAGGTACAAGTACCTTTTTTTGCAACACACAACACACAGCATTTAATAATGGCACCCACGGCGTGATCGGTTGCGATGGGCGACTCGGTGACCACCCGGCAATCTGCGCGGTTTTGTGCACGATTGTCGTGCGGTCAGGAGTCACCCAGGTGTGAACCTAGCCTCAAATTTTAGATTACATAGTAATACTTTGCAGTTATATATTTATTTAGTTGTTTATGTATTGTGTTACACTGTGTTGCGGTGCTGTCCATTGCTTTAGTGAGCTGGGGTGCCAGAATAAATGGCACCGCAATATACTAACGTGTACCTACTGTGGTCTGTGTTGCATGGTAACATGCATGCACAGTGTAAAGCTGGTCTAAATCTATAGTGCATTCTACAGAACTGTGCCTATTGCATAAAACATTTGATTACATTGTCAGGTATGTAGAAATAGTAATTAGCAAGATACTGTATGCCAAGATTATCATTCTTAATAAATGGATACATTTAGTGTGTGTGTATTATTCTCAGATCCATCATTTGATCAAATCCAATATTTTTGTCATGTCCAAACCAAAAGAGTTTTAAAAACTGCAATTTTTAATCTATTAAATTAACCGTGAAATGGCCAAATTCTGACTCCAGACTATTTTTTAATCTGTCTTGATAAAGTTGTATATCTCCCAAAAATGGATATGTTTCAGTATTTTTCCCAAGGTCCAATTAATGTTTGCCAGCCACCCTAAGCTTTTTATAGGTGTTCAGTTAGCCATTCTTAAGTGTTCAAAATGTGATAGAAAGGCATTCATAAATTTCCAAACGTGCCCTAAAATGTTTCAACTCACAATACAAAAGGCTTATGAAGTGCCCATTGAATGCTTACAAATGGTTGCCAAATGCTCCCATTAGTTGAAATGTTCATTAGCTGCTGAACATAGTTCTCAACCAGGGACCACTCCATGCTATATTTGATTTAATGTCCAAATTAGACACTCCTCAAACTCTAGAGAGATAGGTGTTAGGACAATACTGTGCATGTGGGGATGTGAAGGCCTCTTGACATTGTGGTGCTTTATATAGCAGTAGTTATTGTAGGAACAGAAAAAGATAAGCTCATCCTAAGTGAGAACTGCAGTCACTCGTCTGTGCCATGATTATGGGAGTTTGGTGGTAGATCTTTTTTGATAATATGTTTTAAAGAGGTACTTATGGATTATGGCCTCTTCTCCTGTGTGCCAGTATGCCAAGGCAAGCTGTGGTTTTCTGTCCAAGAGAAGAAGCTGAGAAATAAAAAGGTCACAGGGGCAAAACTGTTATCTTTACCATTTTTGTGTGTGTGAATTATATTTTATCATGGGCCACTATGATAATCCTAAAGAACCAGTTTCCAAGCTACTAAGGCAGGGACATAGAGAGAGAGTAGCGAGGATCACAGACTTGTATGCGCAAAGAATGGGTTTATGGCTTTACGTAAATGTAACAAAAAAGGACATTGTTTTGACGCTGTTCACAACTGGGCCTACACTTTGATAGTACACGTCAAAGCAATTGATGTTTTATTCATAGACAAGAGCGGGGTTTTGTGGAATTATTCAGTATCCGATTCATTATTATTTAACATATCTATATTTTATAGATCGATGTGGCTATGAGTGAGTTCACAAAATACACTGTTATTGCTTCTAAGAAGTCACTGACAGCAGAAACAGTGGGATGGTAATATGAAAGGGTTTTAAAAGGAAAACATTTATATCTTGCCAAGGACAAAAAAAAGGAATTAGATAATAGTTAATAAGGGCACTAGGATACACAAGAATTTAGTATATATATATTTTTAAAGGGAATATATAGTTATGAATAACATGCAGGTCAGCCAGAATACAGGCTGAAGGCATTAGGGTTCCTAGCTAGCAGGGCAGGTGACTGCAAGCTTAAAGTGATATTACAGTCAAAAGGGTTTTAAGCCATTTAAAATGCTGATGAAATCACTTACAATGAATGCTGCTCCTTGATGTTTAAAAGTTTTAGTAGAATCAGCTGGTACCCTGAGCACTTGTCCTGACTCCTGTTTTAGAGTGACTCCTTTCTCAAGCAGAGTGCTATGCTGTCACCCTTGTGTGTGCAAGTAAGCTGTGTGTGTCTCCATAAACACACAGACACTGCAAATCAAGCTACTCCCCTCCCCTCTGGGCCCCTCTCCTCCCTCCTCCCTCCTTCAAGCTAGTAGATGAACAGTTGCTGCAGACTGCATGTCACAATGTCCCTTGTGATCTTGTACTGGAGAGGGAGTTCAGGGAAGCTGAGCTGAGAGATTTTGAAGCAGATGTTCACATTGTAAGTGTCTGGGCAAAAATGTAAAACAATGCTTTGCTGGGCATTGTATATTTGTTTGATCTGGATTCATTATTGAAAATAAGTTTGAGAGTTTAATACTACTTTAAAACGTATCTCGACCCAAGAACAACAATGTAATACATTGCAGCTTACCCACTCTTAGATGCACTGGCAGCATTAGCTTTCTTTTTAAGGCGTTTGTGCATCTATGCTCACCTGGTGATCCTGCCAGTAACACACTCCATGTCCTATGGTGACAACACTCACTTGCTGTA